TGAGTTTACAGTATTTTTGACACAAGGCAAACCAGCAAACCAGAAATATTTTAGAAAAGTGTAGTCACACTGCTCGATGGTAGCGTTTTGGTTAAAACTTCAGAATTCACATACGACTCTTAGAATAAAAAGCAATGCGTTAAAGGGAAGGAAATTTTAGTAGGCGGCGTTAAGGAAGTCTTCCTCACAGCAAATTAGGCACTTCAATACATAATCTAGGATTACCACAGATGCCTAAGAAACAATGTTAGACAAACCCATCATTAATAGGTACAAAGGTATTAGAAGCAGAAGGTCTGGCTGGCTGAAGTCAGAGGCTCCTTCCACCCCTATTTTCTACAAATACAACAGCATGACAACTAACAATATTTTCAGATAATTAGTTCTAACCTGCACTCTAGGTACAGCATCCGTCTTGCTCATCCCAAATATCCCACTGCTTTTCAAAACCATTCTCTCCAAAAGAACAGGTACAGTAAGACAGACTCCAGCACTCTCGCAAATGTTTTGTTTGCAGGTTTCTACTTCTCTAATTTAACAGGGAATTCTCATCTAGTTTTCCTGAGTCTGTCCCCACACAAGCGTATTCAAACTCTGGACCACTTTCTATTGCTTCTGCTTTTTCTGGTACTGGAGAGCCACAGGATGATTCAGCCTAAGAGACTGGGATACTGGGGGTTAAATGGACCCAGGTACGAATTCAAGAGTTTAAAAAGCAATGTAGCAAATAACACATCCTAAGCAAGACCAGTTCCTTTGCTGTCCCATAAAATCCCTTTCTAAATATTTAATAGAGAAACATTGAATGCTAATTTTTATAAACAAGCAACTATGAAAGGTATGGGCTTTTACTGGAAAAGCAGTAATAATAATAATAACAATAATAATAACACCCCTTTTCAACATGTAGCTGGTATAACGTGCCATGCTTTGCTTTTCAGGAATATTTTTACATCTCTGGAGTATAAGCTAAAATAGCAATTTGTAATGAAAAATACAATTATCTTAATTGCAATAGAGCAAATGATACACTTACTAGGATGGGCATGCTCTTTCTGAGCAGCTTCCTGTATTTTCAGATCTCCCTCAGTTAACAAAGCAATAAGCTACCTGCAGATGTTTACGTATGAAATCCAACACAGGGAAAACATTTGCACTACAGAACAGATAAGATCATTGAAAACGAAATTGCAGGATAAGGTGTTCGACAGGGTGGAGGGAAGCTGCACAGTGGAGGAAGAACCATCCCCATGACTACTGGTCCTTTCTCCTCCCTGCTCATTGCTGTTCGCCTCTCCGCGGATTCCAGAGCTGGTTTTGTTCCTCAGCAGCCTTGCTGCAGACTGGTGGATTCAGTCACAGCTGGAAATGGTGAAACTGTGGTTTGTTTCAGAAAGAGAAGAAAGGAGAGTTTAAGTATCGCTTTAGCAGCAGATGGCTTTGCTTTGGATTCTTATCTACACAAAGGAGATGTGTTTGCTGATTTCTAATTAACTCAAAAATGGAAAAGAAAAATTGTTAAAGGCAGTCTGGATATGACTTGAACTTTTCATCAGGTAAGAAGTCAGAAAATCCATAAAACTGTGGCAAAAGTTACTGAAATGTATCTTGTAAAGGATTCTTGTATTCTGTACATGCTGTATTTAAAATTGAAAGGAAAGTTCCCTCCAGATGTTATCTGTGCAATACTTTGGAACTTAATAAACAGATGGTGTTTGCAACTGAAACATTTACTGGTCACTTTGAAGAGATGGGACTGGACATCTTTAACATAGGTAAGAAAATACATAGGAAAGAAAGCCTTTTTAAAACTCATTGTATTTTAGACCATGCTTTTAACTTCCTTTTGCTTATGCACATTTCAGTAATGTTTCTGCATCCAGAGGAGTGAAACAACTAGGCTAAGGGGATTATCATTTCTTCTAGCATTAAACTCTCACTGTGGTAGAGAATCTTTTTCAAAATGCATGGATTAGAGATTGAAGTAATTAGTTATCTTATTAAAGACTTCAATTCTGATATAGGCTGTAGCTGTGGTTCAACAATGCTGATTCCACTAATATTTATTAGCTTAAAAAAAATGCCAGTGCATAATTACGGTGTAGTTCAACATGCTGCAGTAAGTACTAGTGTAACTTATTTTTCTAATGCTATGATCACTCCCGATGTTTAAACAAGACAGGTGTAATTGCTTTATTGCCAAGGAAATGTTTAAATTGCCTTGCAGAATGACATGCACTAAAGACTACACTTTTTAACTCACAGTGCAAAGCAAATAATGGAAGGAAATTAATCTTTCTCCTGAAAAAAGGACGATGTAGGTGATCAGTGTGCCTACAGCTAATGGAGTGAACTGATCAAAAGGCCAGTACAGGGACTTTTCCTTGATGGTAGAAAGCGCCAAAGAAGCCCTACCACCCACACTGAATTCTTGGGAGAGGACAGTCAGCGCTCGCTATCAAACTGTCTTGTGCAGCCATGGATAAATAAGCGAGCATAGCAAATAGTGCATAAAATATCACAAACCTGGCTCAGCCTCTTGTCCTTTGAGTCCCCACAGCTTCTCCTGGCAACATAAAAAGCAGGGAAGAGCAGAGCTTGTCTTTGAAGGTATCTTGCTTCCAAGCCAGATCCCCCGCTAACAACTGATCTTTTCTCCAAGGGCAGGGCTCAGATCTGCGCGAGTCAGGTGAACACCACCAGCGCAAGGCGAACGATCACCCGTGGGGGAAAGCAGCCAGGCTTCAGACCCTCACACGTCGACAGCGGCGGTAAAGCTCATCAGGGCAACACGTACCACTGCTCGGCCTCTTGTTCTTCCAGCGCACGCATCCTTCTGTGTGATTAATGCAGCCAGGTAATTAGTGCTGCTTCAGGGAAAAGTAGTTTACAGTGCATTCCAGGAATTATGTTGCCTGAAGGTGCTGCTGCCCAGCCACATCATCGTTTCCTGCAGGGTCTGACTGCGCTAGCTTCAGAACCCCTTCCATTTCTCCCGGACATATTTGGAGAAGAGTTTTTGCAAGCTGGTGCACACACAGTAGGGTGCACAGCCCTTGTTCCTGCCCCACTGGCGCAGGGACATCCGCGAGGGACTACAAAGTCTGGCTGAGCCACTAGACTTCAACAGCTTTTGCAGCACGGTTGTGCAAGTTTCTACGCCTCTCCCTCAATATAGCTGTAACCCAGCCAGCTGGGTATTTAGGGAGACCACGGGGCTTAATGTTAGCCCCTCACCACACATTAAGTCATATTTGGAATATCAGGGCCACATAAATCTACAGCCACTTCTTACTCCAACATGACCACACTAGTTGAAAAGTATATTTTCATCAGAATGAGAGTGGCAATAGATCCTCCAAAGGTGGTTGGGTTTCGTTTTTTTTCAGAATCTTAATTTGAAACACCCAAACTAATGTCATGCAGAAGTATGAGGATAAAGCAGTCGAGCATATAACTCTAGCTGGAATGCTCTTTGGGTGCCTGGGGGCAAACAGTTACAGAATCATAGTTTGCAGTTTAATCCTGGATTTGGTGTTTAATCTCGTGCAAGCAACCAAACATTTTTTATTCCTTCGTGACTAAATAATGGCAATAATTTCTGTAAAAAAGTTGACAAATCTTCTACACATAAACAAATTCTTTCTACTAACAATGAAACATCCACCTGTCCCTTCTTTTTGTGCATCCTCATTAACTTTCCACTGCTGCTGCTTCATCCTTTCTCCACAGGGCTCTCAACACTATGGTATTTATTACCAGGGGTGAAGAATGGCCTCTGTCCAGCTAGTTTTCCAACAATTCCTACTTCAAATAGAAATTAAGGTGAGTTAAGTTAGAGCTGAGTTTTGAAAGGTATATGATAGCACATAGTTATCCATCTATCAAAGTAACTCTTACGTCCTTCTTTTTTGCTTTCCCAGGTTGGAAATGTACCCTCTTTCTGGCCAGAAAGCTGGTGAGCCTTTGATTTAAGATTAACTCCGTGAAAAATTCAAACCCATCAAGTTATTCTGCTGAATTTAATTCCTCCCATTAATATTAGTTTTGTAACAACAGAATTGTACTAATATCAGATTTTTGCTTGACAACTGTTTGAGTTAGAACTGAAAGAAGAATCAGCTCTGTGTCTCTTGAGTACACGTTGTATTTCAGCACAGAAAATTTTGGGGGTGTCATTTGTCAAGCTTGTAAAACAGCAAACGGTGTATAGGGAAATGAGACAACTTTTGGCAACTAGCGGTGTGGAAATCATTGTATGTATAACTAAGATGTGATCTTTGTTTGGTTTACATTTTCCTCAGACTAGATTGAGGAAAAAGGACGTGCTATCTTTAATACATAAGCAGAACAGGAAAGTCCCTTGAAGATGTTTTCACAGAGGTGTTGAACATCACTTAAACTGAAGCACACATCATTTTGATTAAGCCAGAGGGATTTGCTGTATTAGCTCACGTTGCTTTGTAGTTCTAGGGAAAATGTCAGTGTGACATCTCAGGTAGCAATGTGATGGCAGGACCCAATTCTTCATGTTTCTAATAATAAAAAAGCAACAGATTATTCTTGTTGGAATTCCTTAAACCTTGCTAAATCTTTGGCTGAGACAGGTCTTAAAATATTTTATTTTGAAAAGCAAAGGTTATCCACAGTTGGTAAAGGAGAATTTGTATGAAAATGTTCATACGAGTTTAATCAAAGCTATCACTGCTATTTGTTATACATCACAATCAGTTACAGTTCTCTGACACTGTCAGTGCAGAGCCTCGGAAAAGTGGCATCAACGTCCACCCATACACACATATAAAACCACTAATACTCAGCCACTGGCTTTTCCTTTCAGGATTTCTCAGTGCTCTAATTAATGATACTGGATTTGCTCGAAACTCGAAGGACACCAATTGCAAAGACAGACCCATAGTAACCATTGCCTTAGAAAGCTCCACACAAAGCGTCTTCTAAACAAAACCAGTTTTTGTCCATAGGCTGCGAGATGCTTCACGATGGATAAAGACATTGAGCACCCTAGTGAGATTCTGTCTAATCACACTATCACTAACATCAGCTATTTGCAGTTTTTGAACTTTGATACATGCCAACCTTCCTTCCTTACAGAATTCTTGCTTATTACAGCCTACACTTTAGTTACAATAGTGGGGCTTTTTGGAAATCTTTGCCTGATTATTATAATAAAGAGACAGAAAGAAGCTCAAAATGTTACCAATATTTTGATTGCCAACCTCTCTTTATCAGATGTCTTGATCTGTATCATGTGTATTCCCGTCACAGTTGTGTACACCTTAATGGACTACTGGATATTTGGGGAAGCTATGTGTAAAATAAGTTCTTTCATACAAAGTCTGTCTGTCACAGTCTCCGTTTTCTCACTCGTACTGATTGCTATTGAGAGATATCAGTTAATTGTGAACCCACGTGGCTGGAAGCCTAATAGTTCACATGCTTACTGGGGAATTCTTTTCATCTGGGGGTTTTCCCTCATAATATCCATTCCTTTTTTAATATTTCACCAATTAACAGATGAACCCTTCAAGCATCTATCTTTCCATAGTGATTTCTACAAGAACAAGGTTGCTTGCATCGAAGCATGGCCGTCTGTTACAGAACGACTGATTTTTACCACCAGTCTGCTGGTTTTCCAGTACTGCTTCCCACTGGGGTTTATTTTTATCTGCTATCTCAGGATATTTGTACGTCTTCGAAGCAGAGGTAAAATAGACAGGATGAGAGAGAATGAGAGCAGACTGAGCGAAAACAAAAGGATTAATATGATGTTGGTATCAATTGTTATGACTTTTGCAGCTTGCTGGTTGCCTCTCAATATATTCAATGTTGTTTTTGACTGGAACTATGAAGCACTAATGAGCTGTAATCATAATCTAGCATTTACAATATGCCACCTTGTGGCCATGATCTCAACATGTATCAACCCCATCTTCTACGGCTTTCTCAACAAGAATTTTCAGAAGGATTTGATTGTATTAGTTCACCGCTGCAGATGCTCAGCATCGCAAGAGGAATATGAAAATATGGCCCTTTCAAATCTGCAAACTGATGCATCTAAGGGATCTCTGAAATTAAATAGTCCCCCTGTGGATATCTAAAACAATCCAACAGCAGTTTCCAAAACTCTGTATTTTGTTGCAGATGACCTCTTTCTGTAGGTCTTGATCATGTTACTGCTCAGTTTAGGGGAAATCTTTTCCATTTAGTTCAGCAAAACCAGGATTGTTCTCCCACAGGCACACTCTTAGCAGGTACTTTATGAGGGTATTAATGCTAATAAACTACTTCCAAGAGTCTAAAAGATCAATAATAATGAATTATAAACAGTACTAACATCTTACTTTTTTAATCCACGGTTTCCAAGTCACTGGCATGCCACCTTAGTATGCCAATATTTCCATTTCAGTCACTGATGCGGTTGTCCTTCCTAAACACCTGGCTTCACCCAAGTAAACCAGGAATACGATGGCATTCCCAGCTTCATCAGCCTTTTCACAGACTGTTCTCTGGCCTTTTAATTTTCCAGCTCTACGTTGTTCCCACCTCTGGTTCATCTGCACAACAGTTCATAGGCCATTCACACTGAAGGAAGGCCCCTGAAGTTATCCTAAGCCTCCATCATTTTCCTTTCAGCCCGGGCATTGCTTTGGTTTAGTACCAGTTCAGCCTAGAAATTGTATTCTAACAACGGAAAAGGCTGAAGTTGGCATTTCTTTTTTTATTATTTTTAACGAGCACTAATACAGGCCCCATTTGATGTATTGCAAATTCCACTCAGATCGGCGCTGTTCAAGATGGAACATGTATTTAACATTTCTCCTAAAAGCATCGTATTCTACTCCAAACTGCGAGTATAGATCATTCCTTTCCCTGTTACCACCATCGCTAGTCCTTAAAACAGACCTTTTAGAATCTCCATTATCAAACAAACACACTATGAATTCAGAACAAATTTTGCTTTAGCTACGTACCCTGAGTATAGACTTCTCTTTGAGTAGAAAATTAGGTTTGCATTTAGTTTCAGAAATGTCTTTCCCCACTTTTCTGCACTAACAAGAGGCCACGCTTGCGGCAGATGTGGTCATTGCTAGTGGACTGTGTTTGAAAATAGCTTCTTTTGTAACACAAGTGCCTAAGAAGCCTAAAGGTGTAATACTGAACACAACTTTTCTCAAACGCAAACATTTTAAAAAACATTTTCCAGTTTGGCTATAAAAAACCCCAAACATATTCTTCATCCATGCTAGAGTGCCAACGTAAATAATCAGCTGCTGTTGGGTGGTTTCAATGCAATGCTTAGAACGCGTTAGCCCAACAGCTCACCATGCTTCCTCTTGTTCAAGTTAAATATAATTCATTACCTGCATTGCTAAAGCCCCTTATATTTTTTTTAGTTCCATAATTCCTTGTAACTGTTCTCTAACTTTCACAATTTCCTGATGCCCCACTTAAGGAAAAATAATTAACATTCAGATTACAATCAGCTCCTTGACAACTCAGCTATGACAAAGCTTACCTCCAGGCAATGAAATTCTCTTGGGTAGGGACCATCTTCTTCTGCAGTCATACTGCTCATAAAGGATTCCGTCAGGGCATAGTTCTCTCCTGCTCTTGCTACAGCACTAATGCAAACAGTCTGCATTACGCTACACGGCAGAGCAGAGCCCCACGCGCTCTTGCAGATGTGCTGCATCGCTAAGCGCTTCCTGATTCACACCGAGCTAAAAGACTCCTGGAAATCTCTTGGGGCTCGATCCCCTCGAAGTTATAAGGGCAGCACTACTCACAAGAGCAAGGATGGCAGAATTAGTGACGTGGTAATCAAGTATTTGAGTGACAGGTATGGATTAGTTTTGGCATAATCTTGTATTTTTTTCTGACTAGATCAAATATCACACAAGTGAAGTGGAGTGCATAAATAACCACAACTTAAACACCTGCCTTGTGCATCACAGAAGGAAAACGAGGAGACAGCTAAATACCTAGTAAAGGGTGATGGTCAGACAGCTTAGATTATCTTAGCATTAATTATGGCCATGAAGTCCAGCCCACAGTCACTGGGCTCCCTTTATTGCTGATACACACCATCTGCTTGTCCAGCACACCAGGCGTTTAACCGAGCAGAAAGCAGGAACTTACCGTCCACGACGCCGCTGGCATACCGTGCGTCCTCAGAGGGGCTGGGATACGCCTCGGTGAAGGGGAGGTGAGGGACTCGGTTCCCTGTTCCATCGGGGAGACTCCAGGGTAATAAAGTGATTAATTATCTCCATTTCACTTGCTTAACTGAGAGCAAATCTGATCCAGGAACGTCACTTGTGGGGGGGTTCCAGTGCCCATACAGAAAGCCATCTAATATTGTCAGAAGACCGTTCACTGAGCAGAGCATTTTGACAAATCATGGTGGCGTACCTGAGAGGCTGGGCTGTTAGCTGGGTTCTTCTGAGTTTGGCACACGAACCTCTATCACCATCTTCCTCATATTTAAGCACATTGTTCACAGCTTCAGGGCCCATGCTTAAAGCAATTTACAAGCACACAGCATTCACAATATAATCTTCATATTCAACACAATAGTTCAGATTACTCTCAGTTCTCGTCATGGCAAACATCTCAGACAGTATTTAGTGGTTGAATCAGGCCCAGCTGAGACTCCCATGTGTGATCTTGGCTCCCACATCCCCATCCCACAAGCATGTCCAAGCGCGCGTAGTTTTACAACTGAGGGTTTTTTAGTATCAGGCCCCAGCTGGCTTAAACACAGCCAGGAAATGCATGCTAGTCTGAATTACGTGGTCAGTGAGCCAGCAGCAGCTCTGCTGACCTTACGAGAAGGCCAGGGGGGCTGACGGATGGTCTCCCACTATGTTACTCTGGGGTCTCCCCCTACAAGCGCTTGGGCAGTACATTTCTGTGGCCTTAAACAGCTGGAAAAAAAAAAAAAAATTGCTATTGCTTTTTGTAACACCAATTGCACCAATTGCCTACTCCTGAAATCCTCACTGGAGTTAAGTAATCAATTTTTGCAGTCTGAATCTTGGCATAAGAGGGTTCTACATTGCCAGGTGGAAGCTCTCTGAGCAATGAGACTGCTTCAGAATACAATGTGAATAATAGTACTTGTGCCTTGATTTCTTCTTGTCATTTCTTCCTTACGCTTTCATTTGACTCAAGTGCTGATGCTCCATTTCTGTTCCGAGCATGCAGTTATCAAGTATCTCTCTTCTTAATGCTGCACTTCCAAAAATCACAGCTAAGCGAGCAGAGTAGCGTCGCTGTCTTGCAGATCTTGCCCTCTGCACCACGCGTTCTCTCATTACATCCACTGGCTTTATGTGCAGTCTGACACCTAATTTCCAGATGAGTCAATTAGGGGTGAACTGACTTTGGTAGAGATAGAAAAAGACAAAGAGACATTACTTATTTTTAATACATAAGCATTATGGACTTCAGCGTGATACGTGACAGTGATGTATGTAACTGTGCAATATGCAATGTTTAAAGATCGCTCAAGTCATAATAAACAAACATTGCCCTGTGTTAGGTAATGCTGAAAAGTTTCTTTTCCCTTATTTTATTGGTATAGCAAGTAGACAAAATGACAACAGAATGTGAAGTTGTTACTTGATGCAATCTGATGGAAGACTGTGAGCTTCCTTAGGGGAGCAGAGAAATGGAATTCAGCACGGAAGGCTAGAGGGGGGACCTGAACTCCGCAATGCTATCCAAATGTACAAAGTCTCAGCAGCGATGTTCTTTAAAAAAAACCTGCACCAGAGCTTTGTTCAATGGTTCAGTCATGTAGACCAGACCAAGATATTTATAAAAGTCCTTGTAAATGAATATATCCTTACATGTATTTGTACTTTATGGCTGGGGGGGTTTACTGTAAGCACATGTAAGCAGAGTTAGGTACTGGGAAAATGGCATTCATTGTGAAACTGATTCTGCTGAGCAGAAAGCTCAGTTGATTATTGACTGTAATTATGTACATGTACAAAAGCAGTGCCATTGCTGTATGTTATTTAAATATTTTGATCCCTCCTGTCTGCTGACAAATAAATACTACCCTGCATAAATTCGCTACATTGTCCAGGTGATAAATTTGACTGCCTATGATCTTGATAGGACAGTTCTCATAGAAACAGTCCTGTAAACTGGTTTAGCATTTCACATGTTCACTTATTAGAAAAAAAGAAATCAGTGAAAAATTAGACATTTGCTGTTTCCAGAAGGGCAAGGACTTAAGAACAGCTAGAGAACCTCCTCAGGGCTCGTGGTGCTGCCACACTTGTTGGTGGAGAAGGACAGACTCATAAAACAGGGAGGTTTCAAGTGAATTTATGTCTCAAGGGCAGAGCAACCTTTTACTGTGGTACTTTATGATTCATACTGAAATATAATCAATGTATTTAGAATGCTATTTTCTTAGACATTTGACAGATACACTGAATAATCTGTGCGGTCTGTCAAAGTGAAAGTTTCCCTTCAGCAGCTCAGGAAATTTTATCTGCAGCACAAATATTGAAAGAGCTCTTCTGACAGCTCAGTTGGTACATATTTGTTTCCAAAGTAGCATTTACTACTGTGTTTTAATTCATCAGTATCTAAGTAGGAGAAAGATACTTTATTTTTCTTATTTAAGCCAAAATGTTCATACCACATCTGCCTGTATTATCAATATTTTACCGCATATGATAAAAATGCCTGGGATTTAACAATGACACATATTACTAGGACAAATTCCAGCCCTGAAAATGAGATACTTTTCTTTTGCCTGACTCTGGTAGACTACAAGTGGCAAATGATACCCAAGTTCTATTTCTTACATTACATTTTTTAAAGTTACATCACAGCTCCATCAGTTATAAGGCAAGAATATTTCACCCTGACATAACTGTAAATCAACATCGCACTAAACTGCACCGCAACAGGTAAAATTCTGAAAAACACTGGAGCTGACTTTCAGGGAGATAAATGTAGAATCATAGAATGCTTTGGGTTGGAAGGGACCTTTAGAGATCATCTAGTCCAATCCCCCTGCAGTGAGCAGGCACATCTTCAACTAGATCATGGATATTGCATCTGAAAGTGTCTG